AACCCACAGAGTTTTGTTGTAAGCTTTAAAAGAGTTATACTTGTTTTATGATAGAGGCATCACTAGAAAGGAATTCAAGACTCCTTAAGTTAATTCTACATGAAAGTTGTAATACCTTACCATTTATCATATGTATAAGAAGTTTAAAGAATGCTTTAAAATAAAATAGTATCTATAAACACAGGGTATATTTTATTTGGTCACAACTTGATATAGCTTTGTATCAGATCTAAGACGTGCAGATGTAACATATAATATACCCAATGTGGATGATTTAAAAAATAAAAGTATTTGATCTAACTTTTAATAGCAGTCAAATCTATTTTCCAGGTTTTTTTTTTTTTTTTTTTTTTTGTACCAGAGATTGAACCCAGGGGACCTGAACCACTAAGCCACATCCTCAGCCCTTTTTATTTTTTTATTTTGAGACAGGGTCTCACTAAATTGCTTAGGGCCTCGTTAAATTGCTGAGACTCATTTTGAACTTACAATCTTCCTGCCTCAGCGTCCTGCGTCACTGGRATTACAGATGTACACCGCCATGCCCAGCTTATTTTCCAGATTTTAAAAGTGGCTTTTAAGGTTCCCTGGTCATCCTCTGTAGCAGTTGAACCACTCTAGGAATCTGTTTTCTGGATTTGCTTGGAATTAATGAACTGAGGCTTTCTCTGAGACAGTTCATGAGCAATGTAATTTACTTTCATTGTACAGGGGATTCCTCTAGTGTTCTCACTTATGAAAATAAAGTGGCTAATGGAAGACTTCTGTATTTTTCTCTGATATGATTGATGCCTTCTAAAACAGAAAGTCACTTTCATACAAAGTTCAATTGGTACTGAATACAGTATAAATGGTCTCTGTAATAACTGAACTTCAAATATAGGAGAGGCTGAATGTTACATTATTTTCTATTAGCTGCCTTGGTTCTAAGCCAAATATGCCCTGGCTGTAACCGAAAAGTAAGAAGGCTTTTGGGGAGAAAAAAGAACATAACTTGGGGACTCTAGAAGGGCGTAGCTGCAATCTGGTTCTTTGCAGAAATATTGGAAATAAGAATAATGCTCTTTTACAATCCTAACTTTATAGGTAGGATCCACTTAAAAATTATGAAAACTTTATAATGTATCCCTAAAGAAACCTTACTATTTATTGAGAAGCAATGGTTAGCTTATATGATTTTGTTCAGAGATACAAGGCAGAATAAATTTTATGTCCAGAAAGATAAAGAAACAAAAATAAACAGGACTGCCCCCCGCCCCCCATCCCACCTTACTGAAAGCAAAACAGAAAGGAAAAACCTCTCTTAACTATTTGGGATAAAGACCAAAGCCTTTTCAATATACTAAACATAAATTAAGAACTAATATTAAAAAGAAGAAATTTAGTAAGATGACATATTAGTACAAAAAAGTCCAGTAGGCATTTACTGATAAGCAAAAGCTGTAAGGCAGTTAAAATCTTAAAAACATTATAGCACCAAATCAAGCAAATTAAAACAAAACAAAACAAAACTACTCCACAAATAAAGTTAGATTTCATTCTAACTTTAAAAATCTGGTATGCCAGTTATTTTCTAAAGGATGAAGGCAGCTTTAACACCAGCTGCTGACAATTTTATCTAACAATAGATTGTTTAAAGATGTGTCACTTCTGGTGCTGCTATTCATTTCACCTAAACTGCATAGAGGTTAAGCTTCAGTATAACTTTATCACCTACAGACCATACGCAGACTAAAGACAACATTTGTGAATGATTCTAAATGGTATCTTATATCAAAATGTTCCCTTAATTATAGTTCTTGCTTCTGTAGCTGCCTCTCCAACTTGTCAGAAGCTGCCTATAGTAACTAAAATTGGATTCATGAAGAAAAAATGTATTTTTAGGAAAACATGTACAACAAGCACCTAAGCATCTGTTAACATTAAAACCGGAAGGCAGTATTTTGCAGAGCACATTAGAACAGTTTAAAATTTAGGAATTCACAACATTCACTTTGAATTATCATGGAAGTCTTTAAAAGCAACAGATCATGATGGCACAATAATTTTATTTGTTTAACAAATATTTGAGGCTGGGGATGTAACTTAGTGGCAGACATGTGCTTATTACCATATGCAAAGTCCTAGGTTAAATACCCAGCACCTATACAACAACAACAAGATATTTACTGAGCACCTATATGCCAGGTACCGTGCTCAGTGCGAGGGATAAACGTTAGTAAAATGGACATATAAAGCACTATAGGTTTGTACAGTTTCTAAAGCTGAGAGAGTAATTATATTGGTCAAACTATAAAAGTGAAAATAAGGTCATCCTCTAATTTTCCCATTATGGGTCCCTCTCTCAACCCTCTCCCCTGCCCATTATAAGGGGATTAAGGCAGGAAAGATCATGAGAAAGAAGTGAGAATAACAATAATAGAGGCAAGGATTAGGAAAGAACTCAAACTTTCCTTAATCCTTTTTTCTTTTCTCTTCCTTGATCAGATAAACATGGGACAAGAGATGGGAAGGTGTCTGGTTTAAGCAGGTTAGGACTACTGGTAATACTAAGATTGGGTTTTGAGACATGACATATAGTTTTCAGGAAAGAAAGAAATCACCAAAAATGAAAAAAAAAAGGGAAGGATGTGAATATGGCAGAAATGAGTCACCAACTGGAGTGAATGTTTATATATTTACACATGTTGGCAGGGAAGTCATTAAGAAAGTAGGAACTGTTCAGGACACACTAGAGACATAGATGTCTGGCAGTCACTGACTGCTCCAATGACATGGGGTACATGACATACACTGAGAGGATATAAATAAATGGATAAGAAAGAATAAATAGTACACTGTTGAGTATTTGTAATATCATGCAAACTGTAAAGTGTTATATACCAATACTAATTATTAATCATTTATGCTACTTATTTATTTGTTTGCTTTGGTGGTCCCTGAGACTGATCCCAGAGTCTCACATATGTTAGGCATGTTCTACCACTGAACTCCAACCCTAGCCCTAGCCATTTATTCTTATTACAGACAAGGAAATTTTGCTCCAGACATACTGAATAACTTGATCAGTCACAAAGCTATGCTTAATGGCATGACAGACAAAAACTCAGGCACTGAACTTTAATATATGTGACTAGGCATGTATTAAAGCCATAAACATGAGATCCCCAGGGAAACCATGAGACATACTCTACTCCTTCTCCCCTACAATATCAGAAGGACATGCCTTACGTACTCTGGAGAAATGAAACAACTTAAGATCACTTATCACATATTACAAATCTACAAGGGAAAGCAAAAATTAATAGTTTTAGTGACTTGAGGTATACCTAATTAGAAATATCAGTCCTTTTCAGTCAGCCTTAAAAGATATAAATTAGGGGTTGGGGTTGTAGCTCAGTGGCAGAGTGCTCACCTAGCATGTGTGAGGCACTGGGTTTGATTCTCAGTACTGCATACAAATAAATAAAGATACACTGACAACTTAAAAAAATTAAAAAAATATAAACTAGGGCTGGGGTTGTGGCTCAGAGGTATAGTGCTCACTTAGCATGCGTAAGGCACTGGGTTTGATCCTCAGCACCACATAAAAATTAAAAAATATTTATATAAACTAATGTCACTCCAGTTTACAGAAATAACAGGTTTAGATTTTATTATTTATCACAATTACAACCTCAGCGTGATCCAAGAAAAGACTACCCAATTATGACCAAAGGAACACACCTAAATCAGTGTGGAAAGGGGAAAAAAGAGAAAAAAAAACCTGAAGAGAACGCAATTGAACTGTGACTGTTAGCTACTTAGAAAATCACTGACTCTCTTATCCTTCAACCATGGCAATGGAAGAATGATCTTTGTTGCTAAAAAAAACAATAAAAAACTTATGAACACTCATGAAATATTGATATGTTCCTTCTATTCAATAAAGAGCTAGGAAAATTTTGAGAAGTACAGTAGAGCACTTCATAAACATTAAATCAATTTTAAGATGTATATCAATATAACCTTTTAAATAAAAATTCCCTTGATTAATAAGTTGCATTTTGCAGGGACTAATGTTTCTTTAGCATGCTCAAGTCTCACCTTTGGCTAGTTCTCCTAGCCTTTTGAGGGAACATCTTCTGTCTACTACTCATACAGATATACCCTGAARGTCGTCTTCTGCTGTCCAAATATGCTTGCAAGACTCAACGGGAAATATACTTTCAAAAGTGTAAAGAACTCATGACATTTGAAAGGGATTATCCCCTCGATTTTTTTTTTAATATTTTCAATTGTAGATGGACACAATACCTTTATTTTGTTTATTTATTTTTTTACTCGGTGCTGAGGATCAAACCCAGAGCCCCATATGTGCTAGGCAAACGCTCCACTACAGAGCCACAACCCCAGCATGCCCTTGTATTTTTTAAACAGACTTTACATAGAGTTTCCACATACCTCTTATCCTCACTAACGTATGACTTCCCCAGTTCCTTGCATTTTAACAGATACCAAATACTTCAAAATAAGAATTCTTGGGCGAGGGGAATGGCTCAGTGAAACAGTGCTAGCTAGCCTAGCATGTGCAAGGTTCAGGGTTCAATCCTCAATATCACAAGRAAAAAGAAAAAAATTAGAAGTCTTAATCTGGGGCCCAGGGAAGCCATACATGTCTGCATGGGGTCTTTGATATCCCAAATATTATATCCTGAAATTTGGAATATGGATATATATACTTTTCAGGAAGCAGATTTCATCAAATTCTCAAAGAGTTCAAAAACAGCTAAGGTTCACTAAACTAAAAGAATGAAGTTCAAGGTCTAGAAACCAGGTAGACAAAAAAAGGAATTATTTTGAGGGTGTGAAGACTTCTGCAGATGTGCAGCCTATAGAAAGTGTCAATATGTCCCCCATTCAACTTTACTGAAGACGATAGCAATACCCTAGTTATATAAATTCCAATCAATGAAATGACTTTCAAAACATGATGACCTCTCTTTTTCCTTTTAACATACCTTTAATGCTTCTATAACAAGGTCCCTTGCTTCAAGCTCTCCTTCAAGAATACTGAAGAGTGTCAAGAGTTCAGGCTTGCTGAGTTTTTCCAGATTCATCCTGAAAGCCTAAAACAATGACAACAATCAGCCAATCTCCACAAGACAGTTAATCCGATACAATTAAAGAGGGAAAAAAAGGAGATAGAGAAAAGAGCAACAATTACAGTACAAAATGTTTTGAGAAAAGAAATRGTCACAATTAAATAGAAACATAAGAGCTTTCTGATTTTAATCACATATTGAGAAAAGAAAATTAAACTCACTTCAAATCACTGATTTCATTGTAAAGATACATTTTTTATCTTTTTTTCTCCAGGCATATTTATAACCTAAGTCTCAAAAAGAATTAGTAACCAATTTTTGCTCATGCTTGTAATCCCAGCTACTAGGGAAGCTGAGGCAGGAGGATCTCAAGTTTGAGGCCAGCCTGAGCAGCTTGGTGAGACTCTGTCTCAAAATAAAAAGGGATGGGGATGTAGCTCAGTTGAGAGGTCACTGGGTACAATACCCAGTATCCTCCCTCCCTCTCCCTCTCTTATAAACACACACAAAAGGTTTGGGGATGTAGCTCAGTGGTAGAGTGCTTGTGTACCATGTGTGAGTCCTGGGGTTAGACCCAGAAAAGATCCCCAAGTATTAGGTTTATAACCAAATTCCAAAACTACATATAAAATATTCTGACATCTGTCTGTAATTGGTTGAAATGAAATCTGAGTAAAGAAAGTATGGGAATGACTTTTCTTTTAAATTGTTTATTTTCACAGAGAACAACTATTACAATGTTTATATTTCATGTAGTTAAAACATACAAATGTAACTAGATGCAAATACACTTTTAAATGACTTCTTAAAATATATTAAACATCTTAATTGGCTAGACTACTACAAACTTTATTTCACTTATTTAAGTTCACACTTTCACAAGAATTTGCATCTTTTGAAATGTTAAATGACAAATAATATGGCACGATTTCAGTCCTTTTTGCAACACTAATTTCTCATAAACACTTATGGACAGAGATTAGTCTGCTATACAATCTCTGATGGGTCTTCTGATCAGTGTATACGGTAAGATAACATTATATAACTCCAAAGTAGAGCAAATATGATTTTTCTCTCCTACTTTTTGCTTCCAAATTACCACTTTTATATAGTTTTCTTTAAAGTTAATCACAACATCACTAACTCACAAACATTCCAGTAATTCTTTACTCTTATTAAATTTGAAGGGGGCACACAAGAGTTACTGATTCCATCAGGGTTACTATGTGAAAGTGAAGGAAAACATTGGGCAAAATGTAGACTTCAATGTGTTATTAGATTGTGTTTCAGAACATGCTGTACAAATATTTTACCACATAACAAATTATCCTCAATGGAACCTCGGCTCTAACTAGTGAATTGTAGCAACTAATGATGCTCACTTTAGTACTGGAGATGTGTCTTACAACAGTTATTGTGAAACTGAAAAAAAGAAAAAAAGAAAATCTTAAACAACAACAAAACCCCCACAAACCTTATAATAAAGCTACATTTAATATGAGATGCTATGCTGAAAAGAACACAAGGCTCTGCAGTCACATCTACATGTTGCTAGTTGTAGGACTTGGCAACTTCTCTTTTGCCACCATAATTAGGGACGATGGGAAATCTTTTTTACTTGAAGATATTCAGTTTCACTTCAAGAACTAGCTTTTTTTTTTTTTAATGTTCTGTAGTTATATATGGACAGAATGCCTTAATTTTATTTGTTTATTTTTATGTGGTACTAAGGATCAAACTTAGTGCCTCACACGTGCTAGGCAAGCATTCTCCCACTGAGTTACAGCCCCAGCTCCAAGAACTAGCTTTTGAGTCTCAGTTTTCTCATCTGCTGAAAAGGGTGAGGATGACATCTAATTCATAAGGTTGCTACAAAGACTGAGTTAATAAATGTAAAATAACTTACTGAGTTCCTGATACCACCTAAATAATAGTTTAATTATTATAACTACTAGCCCCTCATTTTCCAAAAGAATTCTAAGAAAGGCATTACCAAAATTGGAGGCAGCCAAAATCAGTAACATCACAAATACGTTCAGCTGCCCCCTTTGTAGTTGGGAATCACCCATGAAGAACAGTGATAGCACCCTTTGGAATGGTGAAGAATTTAAACTACTAGTTGAGTCACACTAGTTTCTCAGATGAACACCAGTGCCAGGTTTCATGTTTTTACCTTCCTTATAAAGAGATAATAAGGCAGAGAAAATATCCTACCATCTAATGTTCTTCCTCCCTGCCTGCCCCCTATTATATTAAGCAGAATAATGGGCACATGGTAAAGGTACTGCATAAATACCAACTGCACAAAATAAATCAAATGGCTATATAAGCACCAAGGTAGGAAGGTAGAAATAGAGCTAAAAATGATAGATTTCACACATATAATTACTTCCTTTCCTCCAATATCCTTATAGTCTATAAACATTCTTATTTAGAGATCCAAAACCGTGGCTTAGAGAAGTAGTGTGATACAGATAAAACATAATGGACTGAAAGTGAAGAGTATAGAATTTTAGTCTTGGCTTTGCCATAGTTCAGCTAGCTATATATGGCTTTGAGGAATAAAATTACATAGTTGCTCTGGCCCTGAATTTCTAATAGGTGAAAAAAAAAAAAAAAAAACTAGATAATCTTGGTTCAATTCTAAGCTTACAGAGTATAATTAAATACGAATAACTAAATTGGATTGCACCTAAATCAAAGTCTTTTACCTGTTATGATATGTAGACATCATCATAAAAGAATAAAATCAATAAAAAATCTTTAGAATCACTTTAATTAATTATAAAGTAGTCCAGCCTAGGCAAGAAAAAAATTCTACTCTTTGTTAACTTAAACACATAAAGAACGACACTCAAACTTGCTACCTCTATGCCTAAATCACTCCAAGCAAGCTCACTACCGCTGAGCCCCAGCCCCAGCCCCCAATATCAAATCTTATACAGTAAGTAAAAAAGGTTAATAGTGGGCTGGGGTTGTAGCTCAGCAGTAGAGTGCTCAACCAGCACATGTGTGGGCCCTGGGTTCAATCCTCAGCACCACATACAGATAAACAAAATGAAGGTATTATGTCTACCTACAACTAAAAAAACATAAAAATAAAAACAAAACAGGGCCATAGTTGTCTAATTCAAGTATAAATATATTCCAGTAACCTTTATGAATTTTAAAATTTAGCAATTTGCTATTCTGCACATGTGAAATAATCTCAACATAAAAAACTTTATAACATTTTTTGTCTGAAATATAAAGAAAGTAAAACTGAATTACATATTATGATGGCAGTGATCTTCTTGTGGACAGGGATGGGAGTATACTGACCTGATAATTGGCAGTCGTACTTCAGTCCTCAAGTATAAACTCTTATGGTTTTCCTCAATTAAAATTTGGAAAAAATGACAAATATATTTAGAATGCCATCAGCATGGTGGAAAAGTGTCCAATGCTGCAAAACAATAAGAAATTTATTATCCATGTGACCATACTATAAACAATCTGTGAATCTCACTAAAGTCAACTGTCATTATAGGATGAACAGCTATAGGTTGACACTGACAAAGAAGAAAACAGTCAATTCTTCAAGTTGAAACTGAATAATATGAAAAATGAAAAAAAAAATCAGGAATCTGACTTCCCTTTTGTAACTGTAATTAGGGAAGGTAGGGGCTTTTGAAATCTTTTTTACTTTAAGGTGTCCAGTGCCACTGTAAGGATAAGCTTCTGAATGTCACAGACTTTCTGAATTGACAAAAGTCTATTTGTTTGAATCACCATGACTTATGGATAATGAACTCAGAAAAATATAATTACAACTGAAATATTTAATCTGTCAAATTCAGTGAGGAAAATTCTCATCTCTTCTAAATAACCAGTGACCATCTCCTTTGTCTATAAGGCTTATTATGTATCTCTACCTTCTACTTTTCCCATTTTTGTCCAAATATTAAATGTTGAATTATATGCAATTTTAGTTATATTTTCCTAGCTATATTATACCCAGCAAACTGAAAAAAAAAAAAAAAAAGTGGAGGAATAGGATAGCTCCATGGTAAAGTGTGTGCTTACCATGTGCAAGGTCCTAGGTTCAATGCCCAGAACTAAAAAAAAAAAAAACAAATTAAAATGAAAAAAAGACAGACTTTAAATTTGTTAAATAAAATGTAATTTTGTTTTGTGTTTTAAGGCACCAAGTTTGAAAGCCTCTTTGAACTGCTGAAATCTAAAAGTCACATGGGTAGTGTCAAGGGAAAACTACAACAGTAAATTTTTGGTTGTTTCATTTAACCAAGAATCAGTCATTAAACTATGAGCTCTGTGTGGTGGCACATGCCTATAATCCCAGCAACTCAGGAAGCTAAGGCATGAAAACCACAACCTCAAGGCCAGCTTCAGCAACTTAGTGACACCCCCATCTCAAAGGAAAAAAAAAAAAAAGGCTGGGGATGTAGCTCAGTGGTAAAGAGCCACTGGGTTCAATTCCCAGTATCAAAAACAAACAAAAGAACTAATTATGAATCTCTCAATTTAGGAGAAATACTGTGGGTTTATTGTGTGGTCAAGAATATAGAACCAACTACATGTAGGCAAATCATTGAATAAGCTAATMCAGCAATTTCTACCCAACAGTTTTGGGCAGACTTGTGGTCCAAAATTTTTCAGAAAAAGGCTGTTTCTAACCCCATGTTCATTATCAGAAATATGACTGCCAGATTTTTGGCATGCCACATTGTATACAGACTCATTCCCTACTTATTTTCTAAATGAGCTGTTACTTGTCATTGTCATCATTCATTAAGTGACTTTGAAAGACAAGATCATTCCAACCAGATGCTCAGCTCATTCTTTCCATTAGATTTTCTCCTAGACGCAACTTTCCTTAGAGTTTACATACAGATATTTCTGTCTAAGGAATGATACAGTCTATAAATTTGAAATAAAAACCACTTGTGGACAAGTTGTCTGAATATTATCATCCTTTGTGGTATGGCCAGCTTTAGAGTTTCTCAATAAAAACACACACACAAATATATACAATAAGAAAGGATAAAGGTGTATGTATTTCAATATCCTTGAAAAATAAGACAATTTAAAGRCTAGGTAAGAAACATTTTTATGATACCAATATGTGATTTCACATCAGCTTGCCCAGCACACCATTCAGTCTATTCACAGTATTCACAGCTACTTCCCATCAAGTTAGATCCAACAGCCAGGACAACCTGAGTCCTTTTCTAGATGAACTTCACGTGCCAGCATTCAAAAGAGTTATGGACACGAAGAAGAGCACACACACAATAACTCCCTAAGTGCAATGCTGCTTTTGCCTAAGAATTATGTTGCTGTGGCTCGGGCTCTTCTCATTTCTTTCTGACCTTTACCCTTCTCTAGATAATACCTGAGCGCATTCAGAAATTGGGTGGCAGAAAATGAAACACCCCAAACAGCTTCTATAGTTATGTGAGCAAAGGGGCAGGGCAGGGCAGGGCAGGGCAGGGTGGAGTACAAGTAAAATGTTTGTCTGTCTAGTATCTGGGTGTGAGTATGTCTTTGTGTGGAAATGAAAGATTTATTTCTTTCCAAGTAGTAGATGATATAGTACATGAAAGAGGGAAAACAACAAAAATGCCTCGAAAGAAAAAAAAATCTAAAGACACATTAAAAAAATTCAACTCAGCTAGTAATTTTTAAAATCAGTTATTTAACTTAGTAGATCAGTAAAATTTCTGTTTTATACTTATATCAAATTTAAGCAACTTATACTTGGGCTACAATGGACTCAATACTAAATCTAAATATGGACAAAAATGTACTGCTATTTTAAAAAATGCATCCAAAGCACCATTTTTTTAAAAAAAAATTTGTTATAGTACATCCATACATGCACTCAATAAAAATAGTGTAATTTAATCAATTTCATTCCCCAGTACCTCTTCTTTCCTTCCCTGATTCCCTTCTTCTATTCTACTAGTCTCTCTTTTTAAAAAAGTTTTGTTCTAATTAGTCATATATGACAGAAGAAGCATTTTGACACATTGTACACAAATGGCCCAAAGCATCTTTTATCATGAGGTAGAAAGTGTTAACCTGTTACCTGAACTATCTCAAAAAGACTTAAGATTCCCTACCCTCTGGCACTTCTGGCTTTCAGGAGTTAATTATGCATTTGGGGTGAGAGTAGTAGAACACTCCAAACAGTCTCTCTCATTCTTTTTTATTTTTCTAGTGCTAAGGATTGAACAGGGACACTTTACCACTGAGTTACATTCTCAGCAATTATTATTATTATTATTTTAATTTTGTGAAAGGGTATTGCTAAATTGCCCAGGATGGCCTCAAAAACTTGTGATCTTCTTGCTTCAGCCCCTCCCTGCCCACCCCCCATCCTCCAACACACAGTGTAGCTGGGCTTACCAGCTCCTCTCATTTCTATTTTAGGATCAGGCTAAGGAAGAAAAACATGTCAATATACTGTAAGAAAGTAATTTTATGACTAGGAAAGTATATCTCTTGTACACATGTTAAAGAACTGTTCTTGCTTTATTTACAAAAGTTCTAAAATTAGGTATAAAAACCAATTTCATTTTATTGAATTCTATATTAAGCAATTATAAACTACTTTATTACCATTATCTCAAAACAAGTTTCTCTCAATTGAAAGTAAAAGACATTGATAGACTCTTTGGATCCCTATAATATATGTATTAATGGGCTAAATGTTCCCCTTCACCCCACTTCACACATTTAAGTCCTAATTCTTAGTATCTCAAAATGTGACTGAATTTGGAGACAGAGTCTTTAAAGAGGTAATTAAGTTAAAATGAGGTCATTACAGTGGTGCCTAATCCAACATGATTGGTGTCTGTATAACAGGAAATTTGGATTCAGACGGGTCAGGGTAAGACAATGTGAAGAAACAGAAAGACAATCTTCTGTATGCAAAGGATTAGTTTTAGACTTTTAGCCTCCAGAATTGTGAGAAAATAAATTACTGGTTTTTAAGTCACTCAGTCTGTGGCACTCTTGCTGTAGCCAAACAAAATAATCCAACTTGTTAACCATTTTCTTTCTTTTTTTCAGTACTAGGGATTAAACCCAGTGGTACTTAACCACTGAGCTATATCCCTAGCCCTTTTTATTTTGAGATATTTCTTAGTAAATTGCTGAGGCTGGCAGTCTTCCTGCCTCAGCCTCTAGATAGACAGGATTACAGTCGTGTGCCACCTACTATTTTTAAACACTATTTGAACAACTCTAAGCCTTCTGGTAAGTATGAGAGTCCATGACATGCTATTTCTCAGAAGCCTTGCCTTGGTCTTATCAATCTGCTTTGTTTTAGCTATATTAGAGACAGCATTCTATAAAACAGAATGGCTCAGGAACATTTTTAGAGACTGTGAATTTTAAGATCCTTTGAGGAATGATGCTTTGAGTTATCCTGAAACGTAATAATACAAATAGTGCACTTAGAAAGAAATTACAGTGGTGCTAAGAGATCAAGATGCTTATTTATTCAATACTGTCAAGACATATTTTGAAGTAGTCTCAAGAGACCGCTCTGCAGTTAAACTATTACTCTTCAAGGTCAACATTTATAACATTACAGTATTCTATTAAAATACATAGTATTCTATTTAAAGCAGATTCTAGGATACCTGGCTTTATAGATTTATGCTTACTACAGAAATGAATAGTGCTAACATTAATCACCACCACCTCACGATTCTATAGCATAGTTTTTGCCAAAGAATTCAAGCAATAATAGTAATAATGGAAAAAACACACATTTATTGAGCTAAACATTAATGTGTAGCAGACAGTGTYCCAACTACTTGATGTATTACCTAATTCAATCCTCACAATCACCTTAGGTGATAGATACTGTAATTTAAACAAATCCATCATCATCACTATCATCCCCATTTAACAGATGGCAAATTGAGACATAGAGGCTAAATAGCCTACTCAAGGTCTCATAGCTAGTACATGGCAAAAATGGGATAAAACCAGGTAATTTGACTGCTGAGTCTTCCTGGTACTGACTGCTACTTGGTAACCACTGTTCACATCTGAGTTCATTTTATCTGACTATGAAATGGTGTGGTAAAACAACCTCGGCTAAAATGTGATTCACAAAGCTGGAAGGGATCTCAGAAATAACCTCAGCACTCTCATTTTACAGATGAGTACCAAGTACGTAAGTATAGTTAACAAAGTCTAGCACTCATGTGTTTTTAAAATCTATTCTAATTCACTTTCTGGTACAGCAGGGCAGGTATCAGGTTGTTATTTTGTTCAGTTCTAAGATTCATGCATAATCTGTACAAGTATGCACGCATCTGTCTCTTTCTCTTTTTGTATCTCTTATGTGTTGCCAGCAAGATTTACACACACCACACACCACACACACACACACACACACACACACACACACACACACGAAA